CCCCAGCCCCTCACTGGGGGATTCTAGGCAGGGGCTCTACGACTAAACCACGCCCCCAGCCCCTCACTGGGGGATTCTAGGCAGGTACTCTACCACTGAATCACACCCCAGCCCCTCACTGGGGGACTCTAGGCAGGGGCTCTACCACTGAGCCACGCCCCCAGTCAGATTTGTGTGTTTGCATGTGTATGTGTGTGGGTATATATATACACCACAGCATGCCTGTGGATGTCAGAGGACAGTCTGCAGGACTTGTTCCTCTCCTTTTAGCGTGTGGGTTCCGGGGCTCGAACTCAGGTCATCAGGCTTGGCAGCAGCATGTGCGTTTACACACTGAGTTGCTTCCTTGCCCCAGCTCTTGGTTTTGAGACATGGTCTTGCTGTGTAGCCAAGGCTGGCCATGAACTCACAGTCCTCCTCCTGAATTCTCCCAAAAGCAGGTTTAGTGGCGTGCACCTCTGCCACCTGCCTGGGGTGCATTTATGTTGACAGTAGGGAGGGACAGAAGAAAGATGGCTGCTCCAGCCTTGGGAGGCCTCACGCCTCTCCCTCCCTCCCTCTTCCCACCCAGAGAAGATCTTCTCAGAAGCAACCCCCAAGTGCGAGAAATGTCAGAGTGTGGTGAAACCTGGTGAGCCTCAGGGCCTGGGGCAGGGGGACTGGAGCTGGGCCCTCTCCCCCACTGTCCTCCTCACCCCACCTCTGGCCACCTCTGCTGCGTGGCCCACCCCTGCTGTCCTACAGAGGGTGGGTATTCGTCTGCCCCCTCAGGCCTCAGTTGATTCCTGCCTGTTCTAGCTCTGTCTCCTCTGTCCTCTCTCCTGTCCCTGATTCTACCTCAGATATCGTGTTCTTCGGTGAGAATCTTCCGCCACGCTTCTTCTCCTGCATGCAGTCAGTAAGTGTCCACCCTGGGCTTGGCCCACGTGGGCTGCGAGCTGGAGGGAGGTGGGGCACAAAGGCAGAGCAGTGGGGTCCAAGTCCCTGTGGCTACTCCCCGCAGGACTTCTCGAAGGTGGACCTCCTCATCATCATGGGCACCTCCCTGCAGGTGCAGCCCTTCGCCTCCCTCATCAGCAAGTAGGTTGAGGGGTAGGACTGGGGGTCGGCTGGGGACAGGGAACAAGGGCAGATCCTGAATCCAGCTCCCCATTCCCAGGGCACCACTGTCTACCCCACGCCTGCTCATCAACAAGGAGAAGACGGGCCAGGTGAGTCTGTCTCAACTTCCCTCACTCTCTGCTCACTGGGGGGGTTCACCCCTCCCGCAGGAGGGTGAGACAGGTCTCAGTGTGTCCCACCTAGAGAGCATCGTGCTTTAGACTTGCCAGTTCAGGCTGGAGAATAGGGGCGTCAGGGGCTGGGCCAACCTGACAGTGCAGGCCTCTGTGTCACTCTGGATTCCTCTGAGCAAATGACAGAACCACACCTTGAACCTGCTGAAACCTGAGTGCTTCCTGGGCACCCAGGAGACCAGTGTACGGCTGACTGTGCCACAGGGCTCCAGCCATTACCATTCTAGTACCTTCTCACATATCAAAATCTGGGTACTCTCCAGTCCCTCATAGGAAGTGGCAGATAGTTTGCATGGAGCACACACATCCTCGTGGATATCCTCCTGGAGATGCTCCGGTCCCTCATATGAAGTGGCAGATTGCATGGAGCACACACATCCTCCTGGAGACGCTGTGTGTCTACTTGACATGTGGTGCGACACAGTGTGAACTCTGGAGATAGTTCTTGAAACAGTGAGACAGGTTCTCGTGTGGCCTGTCCTCTCGAACTGTGTAATTACAGATGGCCTTGAACCCCTAATCTTCTTGCCTCTGCCTTTCAAATTCTGGGGTTACAGGCCTGTGCCACCACACCTGGCTGTGTTATTTGTTTGGAAGAGCTTTTTGTTGTTGTTGTTTGTGGTTTGTTTGTTTGTTTGTTTTTTTCACTACAGGGTTTCTCTGTGTAGCCTTGGCTATCCTGGATCTCACTCTGTAGACCAGGCTGGCCTTGAACTCAGAGATCCACCTGCCTCTGCCTCCCGAGTGCTGAGATTAAAGGCATGTGCCACCACCTGGCAACTGCTTAGAAGTTTAAATGTCACCATGTCCCTCTCACCAGCCACTGCTGACAATACTAAAAGGCAGGGGGGAGGGGTGTCTGTGGATGGAAGGCTCTGGAAAAAAGCTCAGGTAAAATGGTAACACCCTCCCAAACAGACTCTGATTACATGTCTGTGACAAATCTCAGCTGACAGGAAACACAGGGGACAGGACACGTGACATGACACAGGAATGCATGGTGGCATGCGTTTGCAGTCCCATGCTGGAGAGGCCATGATTGGTGATACCTGGACTCACTGGACAGACAGTCTCACCAATTTCCAGTTCCAGGCCAACTGAGAAACCTTGTCTCAAAAAGAATATGTTTGGGTTGGGGATATGGCTCGGTGGCAGAGTGTTTGCCTGGCTTACACAGAGCCCTGGGTTCAAGCCTCAGCACTGTCAGAAAAAAAAGTGGTTTTGGACGGGAGAGATGGCTCAGTGGTTAAGAACACTTTCTGTTCTTCCAGAAACCCAAGTGCAGCTCCCAGCACCCATATCACAACTATCTCTAACTCCAGCTCCTGGGGATCTCACACACACACACCCCACAGACACACACACACACAGGCACATACTTACTACATACACTTAAGAAATAAAAATAAGCCGGGTGGTGGTGGCGCAGGCCTTTAATCCCAGCACTCAGGAGGCAGAGGCAGGCAAATCTCTGTCAATTCGAGGCCAGCCTGGGCTACAAAGTGAGTTCCAGGACAGCCAGGGCTACACAGAGAAACCCTGTCTGGAAAATAAATACAAGCCAGGTCTGGTGGCTCCAGGGCTGTGCTCTTAGCCATTCTCTCCCCACAGACAGATCCCTTCCTGGGCATGATGATGGGCTTGGGAGGCGGCATGGATTTTGACTCCAAGAAAGCTTACAGGTGAGGTCTGGGCCTTGGGGGGCCAGAAGGAGCTTGGGAAGAGCAAGCTGAGGAGGGAGAGAAGACAGAAGCCTGGCCAGGCCTCAGCCTGTTCTCTAACTCCTGCTCACACTGCAGGGATGTGGCCTGGCTAGGTGACTGTGACCAAGGCTGCCTGGCCCTCGCTGACCTCCTCGGATGGAAGGTGAGGAGCTAGGCCACCTCAGCCCACCCTGAGCCCAGCCCTATAGGATGTTCTGGTAACCTCTGACTTCTGTGAACTTTGCCCCCTGCAGAAGGACCTGGAAGACCTTGTCCGGAGGGAGCATGCCAGCATAGATGCTCAGTCAGGGTCACAGGCCCCGAACCCCAGCACTAGCACCTCCCCTAGAAAGTCCCCACCTCCAGCCAAGGAGGCGGCCAGGACCGAAGAGAAAGAGAAGCACCCCTGACCACTGCCTCCCGAGCAGCACAGAGGAGCCCCAGCCAGCACTGGCCCCTCTAACACGAGCTGCTGTGGGCTCGGTGGATCCTTCATTCTCTTAACCACTTTCTTCAAACCAGGGTCCCCAACTCAATCCCAGAAAATTCTAATCTCCCTGAGGGCTGAGGGCTGCACAGCCCATCCCACAGCCTCTAACCACCGAGGGCAAGAAGAGACCTCCCCTAACTTCTAACAACTCCCAGAGATCAGGTTACCCCCAAACTGCTAACTGCCAGAACAAGGCATTTCTCCATTGTTCTCAGGGGGCCATGTCTAAATCAAATTAACCTACCCCACAGAAGGGCTGGACTTCTATGGTGATGTAGAACTGCACCCAGGGGTTAGAGTCTGTGGGGTCTCCAAGCCTGAAGGCCCCCCAGTTCTCTGCCTCCAACAGACAAAGTGGGTGCTGGCCTCCCTTTCCTAGGGACCCTCTTGCCAGCCAGTGGGAGATGAGCAGGAGACTTGCTTATTGGAAACAAATTAAAAACCAGAACAAAGCAACTAACCATGAGCTGTGTGGTCTCTGCTTCTTTTAGTGGGTACCCGCGGCATCTGGGGGAGGGGAAGGGGCCATAAAGACAGCACCCGACGACCTATGGCTCCAGGATCTTAGGAGGGATGGTGTGTGGGGCCAGAGGATGCCCCCTGGAGAGGGTGGCCTGGTGACTTTTCACCCTGGCTCTTAGCCTGTCAGAGGTCCACTCCTCCAAAAGAGGAGCCCTTAAGGCTGGTCCCCGGAAAGAGAGAGGAAGGTGATTTCAGATGCCCCCAGCCCCGCCTCTTCCCCTGCATGCGGGCTTCCTCTCTAGAGAACACTTTCGCTTCCTGCTGCTCAGGCTCCCCTCGGAACAGGTAGGGCCCCCAGGGACCCAGCATCTGGTTCTGCACCCACAGCTGCCTCCATCCAACCCTGCCCAGCACCGCCATATCTGGATCTCCTCCCAAGGGTCCTGGAGGAGGGGAGTACCACCTTCCCTCTCCACCTCTCTTCCCTGCTTATCCCTGCGGTGTGCTTGCCCCTGCCCCCTGCCCCCTAAGCTGCCAGTCAGCAGCTAATTGATTTAAATAGCTGTTAGTTATCTGGCTTGCATACAACGCCCTAACAGAAATGGGACCTTCTCAAAAGGGCTAGCCCACTTCATTAAAGGGCTAGCCCACTTCATAAAAGGGCTATCCCACTTACCAGCCCTCCTCCCAGGCCAGTCACCTAATGCTGGGCCCAGGCTGAATAATTCAGATGGAAAGATGGGGGGATGGGGATGGAGAGATGATGGAAAGATAGATGGATGAATGGTCTCTCTCCAGGCTACCCCCCTACTCCTGAGACTGCTGGGGGGAAATATTCAAAAGGGCTCACCCTGAGTTGAGAATCCCTTATAGGGTTCCCTTCTTAGGTATAGTTGGCACATGCCTGTGATCCCAGAACATGGGAAGTGGAGGTGGGGAAGATCAAGAGTAAGAGGCTAGCCTCTACTACAATACACAAGTATGAGACAAGCCTGGGCTACATGAGGCCGTGTCTCAAAAAGAAGAAAGAAAAATTAAGGTTGGGCCAGGCAATGGTGGCACACACCTTTAATCCCAGCATTCGGGAGGCAGAGGTGGACAGATCTCTGTGAGTCTGAGGGCATCCTGGTGGTCTACAGAGTGAGTTCTAGGACATCCAGGGTTACACGGAGAAACTATCTTGAAAAACAAAACAAAAAGTTAAGGTTTGACAGATAAATGGATAGCTCAGATGTGAGATAAATAAGAGCAAGATTTTCATGGAGAATCCAGATATTGGGCGTATGGCAGGCTCTAGAATATTCTTTCAACTTTTCTATATGTTTAGAATTTTTTCTTTCTAATCAAGGCTGGGTATGGTGGTGCATGCCTCTAATCCCAGCACTCGGGAGGCAGAGGAAGGTGGATCTCTATGAGTCTGAGGCCAGCCTGGTCTATATAGAGACAGCCAGGGCTACATAGTGAAACCCTGTTTCCAAAAAAGAAAAAAAACAAAAACTGAATGTGGGGGAGGGTCTGCTAGGCCTCCTCTGAAGGCTGGAAAAGGAGGAAGTGTGTGTCACATTGCATCTGGATAGAGTGCTCTGCTGTGAGCCAAGAGCTTTTCTAGGCTCTGGGTTTAACCGTGGCGGTTATCCAGATCGTACGCACTTGTATGGTTGCAAATACCTCGGTGAAGATCTTGGAATATCCCCTTCTGTTCTGTAAGTTCCTGTTGGGAATGATGCCCTCCACCCCCGAGATACACAGGCCTTTCTCCTGGGGTCCCCAGAGTTGCCTGCCACCCAGCAACTAAAGAATTGCATTGCATGGCCATCCCAGCCAGGCATAGTGGCTCAGGCCTATAATCTCAGAGCTTGAAGTACAAAGATTGCCATGAGTTTGGGGCCAGCCTGGTCTACAGAGCTAGTTCTGGGACAGCCGGGGCTTCACAGAGAGCACAAAGAAACCCTTTCTTGAAAAACAAAACAAAGAATGGCTTTTGGCATAGCTGGGGACCTCTGAGGTCCATTCTGATCAGGCAAGATCTCTGAGCCAGATATAATAGAATTAAATTATTAGCCCTTGCCCTAGATGGAGCAGCCTTGAGTCTTCTCTTCCTCCGTGCCAGAGGCCAGAGCATGGCTCACTGGTGCCTGGCAACATGAGGATTGTCCAGCCGGAGGACATGGTGTCTGCAGCCCCTACTGAAAGGGACAGGTGAGGATACCCAGTGTCCCCAGATCCATCTTTGACCTTTTGTCCCTGGGCTATCCCTGCCTCTTGGACCCCATGTCAATGGCCAGATTCTACTATGACCCTTGACCTCCCGGAACCTGTACATCCCAGGTTGGCTTGGCCACTAACAGATGGAGCAGGCAAGAACTCACTTGGGGTCCTCAGTACCCCAGAGCCACTTCTTCGACTGCAGAGGACACAGAGGGTGTGGCAGGTCCCAGAGCTGGATGCTCAGCATGCCAAGGCCTTTTTGGAGCTGTGGCCACTGGGGGTGAGTACTCACGGCTGGGGGTCACTTCTGACCATCCCTATTGTCAACTTGTATCAGGTAGGAGACCGACACAATGCAAACTGGACTAACCCAAAACTTAGGAAAAGGTTTATGTAGCCCAGGCTGGTCCCCAACTCACTATGTAGCACTAGCTGACCTTGAATTTCTGATCCTCTTGACTTCTCATCCCCTGAATACTAAGATTACAGGGGTGTGTGTGTGTGTGTGTGTGTGTGTGTGTGTGTGTGTGTGTGTGTGTAAGAGAGAGACCACACCCAGCATATGCAGTGCTGGGGATTTAACCCAGTGCTTCATGCATTCAGGGCAGGCACTCTACCAACTGAGTTTATCTCCTGGCCTGTCCTATAGGCGTCACCAAACAGCTGTTTGTCTTTCCAACAGCAAGGCACCTGGCAGCCGGCGTTTTGCAGCCCAGTGACATCAGGGCTGGCTGTTGTGCAGCCCTCTGAGCTTTCCTTGTCTTACCTGGGGTGTGGCCCAGGTCCACGCTATGTGCATCCCAGGCAGGAAGAAGAGAGGGGCCGGGTGCTTTTGTGCCTTTGACCTGACGCAGAACACATGGCAAGGGCCGGGCAGCAGAGCTTTAAAGATCACCTGGGAGGGGGCTGGAGAGATGGCTCAGGGGTTAAGAGCACCGGCTGCTCTTCCAGAGGTCCTGAGTTCAATTCCCAGCAACCACGTGGTGGCTCACATACCTGCATCAAGCTGATTCTTGTCCTCACCCCTCCTCTCCAGAGCTTCCTGGTCACAGGACAAGATCCTAGCCAGGTCCCAGCTGGACAATCCTCATGTTGCCAGGCATCAGTGAACCATGCTCTGGCCTCTGGCAGAGAGGAAAACAAGACTCAAGGCTGCTCCAGCTAGGGCAAGGGCTAATAATTTAATTCTGTTATATATCTGGCTCAGAGATCTTGCCTGATCCAATGATCCACAAGAGATCTAGTGCCCTCTTACCATCTATAATGAGATCCAGGGCCCTCTTCTGGCATGCAGGCAGAACACTGTATACATAATAAATTAATAAATCTTTTTTTAAAAAAAAGATCACCTAGGAGTTATACCGAACAGCCAAGCCAGCACTGAGTACCTCTATGTCACTAAGGAACCTGGTTACTCTTGAACCCACCATCCTCCTGCCTCAGCCTCCAGAGTGCTGCGATTACAAGTGTGCACCACCAAGCCCAGATGTCCACCATTATTATTTCCTATAGCTCAGAATACTAATGCCTTGGACGAGACATTCCACAGGGTTGTGCCTGGTGGCACGTGCCTGTCATCTTACCATTAAGAAGTCTGATGCAGGAGGATCAGGAGTTCAAAGCCAGCCTGGACGACATTGGGTCCTTGTCAATATATAACCGAATAAATAAATAAATTCTCCAGGGAATACAGGATAAATTTGGAAAGGACAGCTGACAGGGTTTGGCAGACCACAGCTGTCCCTCCCTGTAACAGTAAAGAGGACTGTCAGCGCCATGTCCTGCCCGCTTCAGAAACCCGGGTCAAATGCATTTGGCATCAGGGGTGGGGCTCAGTGGCCGGCAGCATCCTTGCATAGTGAGCAAATGTCCCTGGGTTTAAGCACACCCCCCCACAAAAACTCCCCACTTTTTCCAAAGAATTCCCTCAAGCTAAGTGTGTGGGATAAGCCTGTAATCCCAGTACTGGAGGGGGGTTATGAGTTTGAGCCTAACCTGGGCTATGTAGTGAGACCCTTTTGGAGGAAAAAGGGAAGAAAAGAAAACAATACTGGGCGTGTAGTTCAGCAAAGAACCTGGGTTCAATCCTGAGTGAGAGAGAGAGAGAGAGAGAGAGAGAGAGAGAGAGAGAGAGAGAGAGAGAGAGAGCCCACAAACAAAATAAATAAACAAACAACAAAACTCAAAGATCTCCAGGAAAAATCCCATGGCAGATGTTCATCAGTCACGCTGAGGCAGTTGCCCATCCTTGAACCAAACAGTGGTCAGGCAGTAGCCCACCCTATTGGCTAGTTCTGGATCTGGCCCCACCCCCTAGGGTCCCATCCACAGGAACTAGGAATAGAGGTTTCCCTAAAGCAGTCAATGGTTCTCAACATGTGGGTCACGTCCCCTTCAGGAGGACCCATATCAGATATCCTGTGTATCAGATATTTACAATTCATAACAGTAGCAAAGTTACAGTTATGAAGCAGCAACAAAAACAATTTCATGGTTGGGATCACCACAACGTGAGGAAGTGTATTAAGGGTCGCAGCATTGGGAAGGCTGAGAACCGCTGGTCTAAAGGGAAGTGGCCCCAAGCAGGCAAAAGGAAGCATTGCACATACCTGCCTCGAGCTGATTCTTGCCCTCATCCCCTCTCCAGAGCTTCCTGGTCATAGGACAAGATCCTAGCCAGGTCCTGATGCTGAAGACAGGGCCTTCATCAGGAGACGTCAACACCTATCCAATCCACAAGTTTGCTGGAGGTGAGGTACCTCTTCCTAGGTTTCCAGTCCACACTGCAAATGCATCAAGAACTCTCAGCTTTGATCACCAATATCTCTTGACTCTCCCCAGTACCTGCACCCATCACTTAGTCTGAGCTAGCCCGTTCCTTCTTGCCAAGACCGTTGCAGTGGCCTCCTCTCAGGTGCTTTTGTGGCTACCCTTTCCTTACAATGCATGCTGGGCACAGCCAACAGGTGTTCTCTCACATAGACTACATGTTGTCCATCCCTTCCCCAAACCCTGGAGAGGCTTGGTAACATCCTCAGATACAGAGTTAGGAGGTCACCATGAGCCACAGTGCCCTGCGATGTAGCTTGCTCTCACTTGCTTCTGGCCCTCCCTCCCTCCCTGCTTAGACCTTGGGCTCTCTTCTCTGCTCCTGCTAACCCAGCCGCAGCGTGTTGCTCTTGTTCTTCCTGCATCAGCCTCCCTCCCGCCTTGAGTGGTTGGTTGACATAGGCTGCAGCCGTGAGAGCCTCTGTAAAAAAGGTATCAAGAATGCAAGGTCTGGGGCTGGAGAGATGGGTCCTGGTTAAGAGGACTGCCTGCTCTTCCAGAGGTCCTCATATCAGCCGGTTCAAACCCACCTGTAACTCCAGTCCCAGGAATCCAATGCCCTCTTCTGGCCGCTGTGGGCACTGCATGCATGTAGTACACGTGCATGCAAAACACCCACATATAGAAATAAATTTAAAAATAGAAATTAAAATTTTCTTTTCCCCCCCTTTATTTTCTTTTTCTTTTTCTTTTTTTTTTCTGAGACAGGGTTTCTCCATGCAGTTTTTGGTGCCTGTCCTGGATCTCGCTCTGTAGACCAGGCTGGCCTCGAACTCACAGGGATCTGCCTGGCTCCGCCTCCCCAGTGCTGGGATTAAAGGCGTGAGCCACCGCTGCCAGGCAGAAATTTAAATTAAAAAAAAAAAAGTTCAAGTCTAGCTTTGGCTACATATCAAGGTCAGAAATGGCTTGGGTTACATATCAAGACCCTGTCTAAAAATAAAATAAAATAGAACAAAATTAAGAAATATAAGCCCGGTATGGTGGCTCAGGACTATAATCTCAGGCAGAAAGATTGCTACAAGTTTTGAGGCCAACCTGGTCTATATAGTGAGTATAGAACAAAATTAAGAAATGTAAGCCTGGCATGGTGGCTCAGGACTTTAATCTCAGGTAGAAAGATTGCTACAAGTTTTGAGGCCAACCTGGTCTATACAGTGAGTTCCAAGCCAGCCAAGGCTACAGTGAGACCCCGCTCCAACAAAACAAAAAATGGTGAAGAATTTTTTGATGACTTCCATTTGGTGTCAGAGCTGGGATGCAATGTCAGGAGAGGAGACGTCAACTCCCGGGGTGAAAAACTTTCCTTCTCTGAGGGAGGAGTATAAGAATAGAGATTCCATGCCAAGAGGTGAGGGTGGGGGGAGGCTGGGCCGCAGGGGTAGGGTGGAGGAGGCCAGTGGCCACCCTGAAACTTTGCTTTCTCATCTCTTCCCAGGTGTGTCCCTGGAATCCTCCAACCTCTGCTTGCCAGACTTTCCCCATCTCCTGGCATTCCTGTCAGCCAGCAGGTACTGGTGCCCTGGTGGAGTGGCAATGGGGGCCCTTCCCTGAGATACCCCATCCAGACTGAGGTCTCCCTTTTTCCTCAGGGACGTTTTGCCAAGGACACTGCTCTTGCCCACTCCACCTGTAGGGCCTGGAGACAAGGACACAGGTGAGGCACACTGCTCCAGGGGAGGGAGGGGTCAACTTGCTGGTCTCTTTAGTCCAGAGAGACTGGATCTAAGTTAGGACCATATCGGGGACTATGGGAGTCCAGCCCCTCAATAGTCCCCTCCCAGGGTCCGGGAAGAATCTACAACCAGCTGATAATTAATCTTTGATGGGAAGAAATGAATCTATGTACACGAAACTCCTTAGTCCATATACTTTATTATTCTGTGACAGTTACAAGCTTATATTCTGCTCTCATATTTAGCTCATTTCTAGCCTGATTTCTCTCTACACTCGTCTGCGATCCCCTCTAGGTTCTGTCTTAATTCCTTCATCTAGTTCTGTCCCTTCTAGGTTCTCATCTATCTAGTTCTTTCCCCTCTCAGCTCCTCTCCTGTCTCCTCTCTCATCTGGCTCTTCCTCATCTTGTTCTTCCCCATCTGGCTCTTCCTCATCTTCCATCTCATTCCTCTTGTCCTCTCTTGTAACCCTTCAATCTAGTTCTTCCCCATCTCAGTCTGTTCCTCTCAAGTTCTTACCCATCTAGTTCTTCCATTCTCTTCTCTCTTCTCTGTCCTCTCGTGCCCTGGAAGTCCTGGTATATATACACTTACAAGCAGTATTCCCTTAGCAGTGCAAAGCCAGGCTTCCAGGGTCAAATGGAGAGGCGATAAGAATTATATAGGGAGGCAATAACCATTAATTATCACTTGCAACCCCAAAGGGAAGTGACCAATGGGGGAATGAATTAACTAAAGGCTAAATTCATGTAATATCTAAGAAGAGGGCTCTTATGTGCCCAACTACAATCTTAAACGTGGTTGGTAGAAAGTGTTAAGAATCTATAAGTTGCTAGGTCAATGGGAGAAAATAAAACTGTCTTTTTTTTTTTTTCCTGTAGCTCCTATCTGTCCAAGCTATCTGCCGTTTTTCTGCAGGGTGGGGGAAAGTGTGCTCAGTCGCTAGGCAACCTGTGTACAGCTAGATGCCTCTGGTGATAGTTAAAGGGAGATCTGGAACTGGCGGTAAGGTTTGGGAAAAGAGGAAGTAAGGCTTAATTGGCACATCCGCCAGGCCTTCTCAAACAGGTAGCCTGGATGCTTAAGTCTGTTCTTAGAGAGTACAGAGGTATCTCTGATAAGGTACTTTCCTCCATCTGGGGATGGACCTGGCCGGATGCTGCCAATGATGATAATTACAGGGAGGCTTGAACTGGAGTTCTGGCTGGGCATAGCTGTCAGCGCAGAAGGTTATCTAAATATTCCTAAAAGTGGTTAGGTAAGGAGTTAGAGGTCTATAAAGTTAGTAAGGCTGTAAGAAAGAAGGGTCCGAGCTGAATTGTGTAAAGCTATTACTTAACGTCCACCTGACCTAGGTGGTGTCTCCTTGTGGAATTTATCTTAAATCAGGAGACTTGCATGTGGACTGTTATTACTGCTAGTCCTTGAAAGTGGCTAAGGGAGATATCTGATTCCAGAGAAAGTCTTTCTTGAGGCTGTTCTCCAAATACCTGGAATGTGTATGTCCAGAGAGTGATCAGTCCACACTGTTATCCCTTCTTAGGGAAAAGTCAATTGGGAAAACTATGAAGGCACACATGATTTTCATAACAGAAGACAGCTGATATATAACAAGCCAAGTAACACCAAAAACTCCTTGGGATCTGACTTCCTCTGGAGGAATTCTCTGATTCCTCCAGGTAGTGACTTTGCCATAACCAGCTGAGTTCTTATGATATATTCCTGCGGCCCGCAGCAGGACCCGATAACTGGGTTTGAGAGAGGTGAATCTGGGCTTGGGGCAAGTATGAAAAGAAGCTGTGGTGGGCCGGGCGGTGGTGGCACACACCTTTAATCCCAGCACTCGCTGGGGATGCAGAGGCAAGTGGGTCTCTGTGAGTTCGAGGCCAGCCTGGTCTACAGAGTGAGTTCCAGGACAGCCAGGGCTACACAGGTAAACCCTGTCTGGAAAACAAGAAGAAGAAAATGGAGGAGGAGGAGGAGGAGGAGGAGGAAGCAATAGCCGCTGTAGCAGTAGGGATGAGACCATCTCCGGTTCCTGACAGAGCTTGAGGACGTGTGAGGAGCTGGGACTGCATTCCTGGTCCTTTAGTGAGCAAGGCTGGCGATGACGCCTCCTGGTTGCCCCCCTGCACATCAGGGACACCTTGTCTCTTCTGCTGGCTCTCAGATCCTGTGCGACTTGGCTGCATCCAGGTCAACACCTCAGGGAGGGTGCTGTCTGTAGTGAACCAGCTCTACCTGGAGACGCATGGAGGCTGGGGGACAGAGCAAGCTCCACAGCAAACAGAGCCAGAGACCGACCAGAAATACAGTCCAGGTGAGCTGGCCGGGGCCTAGGTACCCTGAGGGAGGAGCGGATGGATGCCACTGTAATAAGGGACCCAACCTACTTCTCACATTCAGACCCTAGGAAGCCCACCCCACATCGGGTCTCCTGGGTGGAAGACCCACTGAAGTTGGAAGTGCACCACACTGGACAGGAAGTGCATCATCTTGGACCAGACACTCACCACCTTGAAGTGGCAGAGTACCGTCCTGGAGCGGAAGTGCCCTTTCCTAGGCCTGCTCTAGTTAGTGTGGTGGAAGAGCAGGAGGAAGTGGGCAGTGACAAGCACAAAGATGGAGAGGAAGGCCGCGAGGACCTGCTCACTGACCACATCCGTGCTCTGGCCAGGGCCCGGAGCAGCTATGTAGCCAGGCAGTACCGGTGCCTTCGGGCACGGCTCACCTCAAATTCTGGAAATCCCTACAGGCCCGGGGACCCGGCCACGGAGCTGCTTCAGGATATACGCCAGCTCCTCACTGATCTCCAGAATTACCTGGCAAAGGACCCCGACGTCAGAGCTGTCTTTGGGAGCAGGGAACCTAGGGTCCCTGGCGACGAAGATCTTGGTAATGAGAACTGGAGGGAAACTTCCCAAGGGTTTGGGGGATGCCATGACTCGGTCCAGTATGTGTTCACATCCAACTTTTCATTCCCCACGGGCAAACACACCCTTACTTCATATAACTACTACATCATAGCTCCACTTAACACATGCATTGCCGGCTAGACTCTCCCATCCTTGGAGTGTTCATCCCCCTCCCCGCCCCCCACGCCCCTACTTCCATCTACACTTGTAGGTGGCCCGGAGCAGGAGACAGGGCGAGTAGGGATCAGGGTGGGTCACGAAGGCATTGTCCTCACATGCCACACACCCCGCAGGCTCTGCTGTGGAAGTGGCCCTCTGTCGGGCAGTTCTGGAGCCCCTGAAGCCGGCCCTGTGGACCAAACTCCGAACTCTCAGAGCCCAGGAACTGCGGCTACTGCGCCGGCGCCAAATAGTCTTGAGGGCGGGGGCAGGGCCCGAGGGACAGCACCCTGCCCCAGCCTTGCGGAGCCGGATCCACGCGCGCCTCGCGCACCTGCACGCCGCCTGCGTCCCGCGCCGCAAGGTGGCGCTGCTGCTGGCGGTATGCAGCGACGTCTACGCGGGCCTGGCCGGCGGCGAGAATCAAGGTAAAGAACCTCTGGAGGTCGAGTGGGTTAATGGTGGGTACCCATATCCAAGGGAAGGGTAGCCCATTCTGGAGGCCAGTGCCCACTCGGGCCTGGGGACCCGAAGGACGGTGTGTGTGCCCACCCCTACCAAGCTCACGACCGGTCCTCGGACTTCCTAGAGCCCCTAGGGGCCGACGCCTTTTTGCCCGCCCTGACCGAGGAGCTGATCTGGAGTCCACACATAGGGGAGACGCAGCTGGACGTGGAGTTTCTTATGGAGCTCTTGGATCCAGAGGAGCTGCGGGGAGAAGGTGAGCTCCCACCTCCAGTATGCCCAGACACTGAGAAGGGGGCACCCTCGGTGAGCCCCATCTTCCTGTGCCTCAGAAGGGGAGATGGGCATTCAGAGAAGCCCAGAGGGCCGTGATGATCTCGCCTTCTCTCCCCTAGCTGGCTATTATCTTACCACGTGGTTTGGGGCCCTTTACCACATTGCTCACTACCAGCCCGACTCTGGCCGTGCACCCCAGGGGCTCAGCTCGGAGGCCCGGGATTCCCTGCGCCAGTGGCACCGAAGGCGGACGCTGCACCAGCAAGCCCTGCCCACAGCCCAGGTGACCACCTGTGCGGGATCCAGGTAGGAGGGAAGGTGGGATCTGCTGCCCCTCTGACACAGCCTCCCGTCTCTCCCCACAGGCCAACCTGCCCTTTGAGGAGCCATGGGCAGTAGAGGACCAGTGATGATTGGAGTCCTCAAACCCCGGTCACTTCCGGGCTTTTGGCTCACTCCTCTGCTAAGCAAGATGCTGGAGGCATCTGGGACAGCCGGAGGGTGGGGCTGTTCCTACTTCATACCAACCCTTCCCTAATAGCCATAGCACCCCCCCTTCCTTCCTCCCCTCCTCTGGTCTGCCTCAAGGAGGCTCTCTCCAGCAAACACAACCCCCAAAAACAGTGCTAAAACTACAACCCTCTCACCTGAACCCCTTTGGGGCAGGTAGAATAAAGGCACGGTCCCCCAAAGATGTCTACATCTATGACACTTCACCAGGTCAAGAGATCTTTATAAAAATGATAGCATGGGGCTGGAGAGATGGCTCAGATGTTAAGAGCACTGGCTGTTCTTCCAGAGGTCCTGAGTTCAATTCCCAGCACCCACTTGGTGGCTCCCAACCATCCGTAATGAGAACTGGCGCCCTCTTCTGGCCTGCAGGCCTACATGCTGTATACATAATAAATAAATCTTTAAAAAAAATGATAGACATGCCTGGACCTGAGGTGGGAGCTTATTCTGGATACTTGTGTGCCCTAAGTCGTTAACAGGGTGGCAGAGGTATGGGTATGTCATGAGCCTATGTCCTCAGCTACTCTGGAGAATAGGGTGGGAAGATTACTTGAGGCCAAGACCATGAGGACACTGTGGTATTGAAACATATTAGATGTTCAGGACCGTGGCATTGAAATATAGTAGAGTCCAGGAAACAATGGGATAGACTTTCCACCAGCCTTGAAAACCCTAATCTCTGTGACCCATCAATGTTACCTTATTTGGCAAAAGTGTTTGTGCAGCTGTTATTATTATTATTATTATTATTATAGTTTTTTGCTTTGTTTTGTCTTTTCAAGACAGAGTTTCTCTGTGTAGCCCTGGCTGTCCTGGAACTTTCTCTGTAGCCCAGGCTGGCCTCAACTCACAGAGATCCGCTTGCGTCTGCCTCCCAAGTGCTGGGATTAAAGGCGTGCACCACCCCCATGAACAAACTTGTGCAACTCCAGCAAAGGCTTCTCCCCTCAGAGCTCCAGAGGTCATGTGGCCCTGATGACATCCTGGTTTCTGGCTGAGATAGTGATGTCAGAACTCTGACCCCCAGAACTATGAGCAAATAAATTCCTGCTATCTTAAGACACCAAGGTGATAATGGCAATAATACTTTTTTTTTTTTTTTTTGGTTTTTTGAGACAGGGTTTCTCTGTAGCTTTGGAGCCTATCCTGGACTAGCTCTGTAGACAGGCTGGCCTTGAACTCACAGAGATCCACCTGCCTCTGCCTCCTGAGTGCTGGGATTACAGGTGTGCGCCACCACCGCCCAGCCAATAATACATTTTTAAAGTGCATTTCCTGGGGGGCTGGAGAGATGGCTCAGCAGTTAAGAGCACTGGCTGCACTTCCAGAGGTCCTGAGTTCAATTCTCAGCAACCACATGGTGGCTCCCAACCACCTGTAATGAGATCTGGTGCACTTCTGGTACACATATGGAGACAGAATACTGTATACATAATAAATAAACCTTTTGTAAAAAATTTATTTTCTGGGAATGGTGGTGCAGGCCTGTAATCCCAGCACTTGGGAGGGAGAAGTAGGAGGACCAGGAGATAGAGGCCAGCCTGGGCTACCCGAGGCCCTGCTGGACTCAGTAATAGTGTGCGCACCTAGAGTTTCCAGTGACGGGCTGCAGGTGCGGCTCAGCACAACAGCTTCCCTGAGCGCTCACCGTTGTGGAGCTATGGCGTGGCCTATTTGTCTTGCTTGTTTAAGGTTTTATCACCAGCAGCACACACACACACATACACATACACACACACATCACACACACACACACACACACACACACATACACAATGTTAAGACTGGGGAGATGTCTCAGCAGTTACGAGTCCTGCCTGCTCTTCCAGAGAACCAGGATTCAATTCCCAGCACCCACATGGCAGCCCCAAACCCTCTGTAACTCCAGTTCTAGTGGATCTGAGACCTCTTCTGGCTCCACAATATCAGACACACATGTGGTGCATGCGGGCCAACCACCCATACACATAAAAGTTTTAACTGTTTTTAAAATGTAAGTGAAGGCATCGTAAATTAGGGAATGTACACACTAAGTTGATAAACATATCTGTGTGTTTTCCCGAGTTATGTGAACCTTCCTAACAAATCAATTAACACCAGGGAGAGCCCATAGGAATCGAAAAGCCCATTGGCCAGAAGTAGCGTTTATAATCTGAAACTCAAGACTGGCCCTGAGGCAGCAGAGCTGGGCGCTATCCTGCAGAAGCAAGCCTGTGGGATCTGAGACTATCTCCAGGTAATGTCAGGATGGAGTTAAATTATAGGACACCCATCTTTATTGGCTGTGGAATTTCTTGATGTATGTGTGGGAAACCTCCACACATCTGGTGTCAGAGTGTGCGAATTGTGTGGGGGTGGGAAATGGGTGGTTCTCAGGTCTTACACAGAAATGAGAACATCTTCGTGCAGACAGATTGGACAACGATGTATGAAACGGTAGCAGAAGAGAAGGCAGCCAAAGAAAAATCAAGTGGACCGCACCTGGATTCATCACTGATGCTTGTGATAACACACCATGACCAAAAGTGATGTGAGGAAGAAAGAACTTATTTTAGTTGAAGGTTCTAGATGATTCCAGAATGGCGGGGGAGGCATGGCGTCAGGGCAGCCAGAGAAGGAGGCTGGGAGATCACATCTTCAAACACCCAGAGAAGGCACGGAGAACTGGAAGTAGGGGTGGGGCTGTAAAGCCTCAGGTCCTTCCCCCAGCAAGACTCTGCCTTCTAGAGGGTCCAAAACCTTCCCAAACAGTGCCACCAGCCAGGAGCCAAGTGTTCAAATACCTGAGCCTACGGGGACGGTTGTATACGGGGGTAGGTGCAGGCTCACGTGGGTCTGTGGAAAGAAGTACAGAGGTGCCTCAAGGATGAACTTTCGCTGAGCAAAAGGCCCCTTTATTGTTATACACATCACACCTTTAACAAGTCAATTCCATATACCAAAGTCTTTGATCTGAGCCCCCCAGAGAACCAAATGCAAATTCTCAGTAAGAATACCACAGTTTTCTGGGTTGTTGTTAATAAGTCTGCAAGGCTTTGATCCCCTAGGAAAACTCTCAGCTAAGACTTCAGACAGAAGGCACAGAGAGGTGTGTGTGTGTGTGTGTGTGTGTGTGTGTGTGTGTGTGTGTGTGTGTAACAATCACAAAAGGCAGATCAAAGCTAGGTGCTAACACACCAGAGTCAAGCCAGGTGTAGCTATGTGGGAATTCTTCCACCAGGGAACATGTCTCATCAAACCGCCAGGACATCAATATTTAAAACTTCTAAAGATACACAGGGCGGTGGTGGTGCACATCTTTAATCCCGGCTCTCAGGAGGCAGAGGAAGGTGGATCTCTGCGAGTTTGAGGCCAACCTGGTCTACAGAGCAAGTTCCAGGACAGCCAGGACTGTTATATGGAGAAACCTTGTCTTACAAAACCAACCAACCAAACAAAAAAATTCTAAAAATGTATGCCTATCATCCACTGCATTATTTAGAAAGCTCAGGCAGGAGGATTCCCTCAAGTTCTAAGCTAGCCTGGGCCACATAGTAAAAACCATGTCTTCAAAACCAAACTAGACTGGGGAAATGGCCCAGTAGGTAAAGTGCAGGTCCTTGGTATGGTGACAGGTGCTGTAACCCCCCATGAGGTAGAGACAGACAGATATTGGGGGGCTGAGACTGTCACTGGCCTGCCAATCTAGCCAAAACAGCAAGCTTTGGTTCAGTGAGAGATCCTGTCCTTTTTTTTTTTTTTTTTTTTTTTTAAGATTTATTTATTTCATATACGATGTTCTGCCTGCATGTGTCCCTGCAGGCCAGAAGAGGGCACCAGATCTCATAGATGGTTGTGAGCCACCATGTGGTTGCTGGGAATTGAACTCAGGACCTCTGGAAGAGCAGCCAGTGCTCTTAAGCTCTGAGCCATCTCTCCAGCCCTGAGATCCTGTCTTAAAAAACAATGTGGGGAAAAGAAAAAAAACAAAAACAAAACAATGTGGGGCCTGGGGAGATGGCTCGGTGGTTAAGAGCACTGGCTGTTCTTCCAGAGGACCCAGACCCCACATGGCAGCTCATAACTGTCTGTAACTCCAGTTCCAAGGGATATGGTACCCTCACAGACATACATGTAGGCAAAACACCAATGCACATGAAATAAAAATAATAATGGAAAAAAAAAAAAAACCCAATGTGGAAACTAGAGAGATGGCTCAGTGGTTAAGAGCATTCTGCTGCTCTTGCAGAGGACCTGAGTTCAATTCCCAGCACCCACATAGCAGCTCACAACTGTAACTCCAATTCCAGGGAGTCTTACACCCTCTTCTGACCTCCATGGGCACACACGTGGTACACATTTATACATGGAAGCAAAACACTCTCACAAAAAATAATTAATTAAATATGGTACTAGCAAAAACCAGTGGGTAAAGGTCTCTGCTGCCATGCCTGACTTGCGTGTGAAGCCTGGAGCCCACGTGGTGGAAGGAGAGACTCAGCTCTTGGTTCTCATGCCTTCACATCTGTGCCCACACATGCGGCTAGCAGGTGAACATACATAAACACACACACACACAAATGTAAATAAGGAGAGAAACTATTGCAGAGCCTACCAATGTGAACCTGCACAGCACACACATGTGCACACAGATGTACACCAGAGAGAGATAGAGACAGCACAACATAAAAAATGGCCATGGTGGTACAAACCTGTAATCCCAGACCTTGAAAGGCTGAGGCAGGGGGCCAGTTTGGGGTCACATAGTAAAACCCTGACTCAATAAAAACAAACAAAACAAAGCAAACATGAACGTGCGTGTTTATGTTTTTCTCCACAATTCCTGAATCATGACCCTGACTTACTTCCTGGTAGTAGGTCAGGATGGTCAGGAGAAACTGAGAGTAATAAATCGAGGTTACAAAGGACTCACCAGTAGACTTGCTCAGGGAATTCTAAGTCGCCCAAGGTCGGATTGACTCACAGCAGCGCTGCCCTAATATGGCTGGGAGGTAAGTCCTCTGACTGATCAGACTTGTCAGACTGTAGGGGATGTCATACCTCGGACATAACTGCAGTTTGGGCTTGCTGAGAAGATGTTCCTGTTGAGATTTGTCCTCTAAGATTGCTCTCTATTAGACTCCATTCCCACATCAAAGCACACACCTCGACCTGGCAGTTCAAAGGGATGGCACTGGCCAGCAGCCACCATTGAGTTCTAGTCTGCCATTAAGTCCTGGTTCTCTTATCAGGGTGAGGTAATGATTCTGCCGGGTAGGCAGGATGGTCTTAGGTAATATTAGCCAACCCAAAAAGAACGATACTGGTATATTTTGAAAGTAAGTGTGACCATAACTTTGCTGTGTAAATTTCCCAATTGCTGAAAATGGCCAGGTTTACACTCTCTTGTCCCTGTTTAATTGTTCGGCGTAACTTGGGGCTGGGACCTTAAGGACGTGTACAGATGAAGAGTGGTGTATGTGGAATGTTAAAGTCTAAATCTTATGTAATTCCTTACTAATGTCTGTTTGTGGCTGGTTTTGGACTACTAAAGAATTTTTTCCTTATTCCCTGAGCGTTTGGAGTAAATCCTCACTGGGAGAACTTAACCCTGGTCCCCACACATCCTGTCCTTTGCCCTGGAGAAAGGAATGCTGCCAGGGAGGCCAGGAGAATCTGAACCAACAGGTTTTTCTGGGTTTCCCCACCCCATCTGTTAGCAATCCTGCCTGTGCGGCCTCCATAAAACCACAAAGGACAGGGCTGGGAGAGCTTCCAAACAGCCCACCTTCCTGGGGGGCGGAGGCTC